AGAGAGAGAGAGAGAGAGAGAGAGAGAGAGAGAGAGAGAGAGAGAGAAAAGGGAGGAGGGTGCTGGGGGACCTGAAAAGGGCACTCACATCTCCTGGGGTAGACAATCAGAAAGCCAACATGCATCGTCTTCTCTAGAACTCACTTTAACAGACTATCTTTGACATTCCTAGTCTTACCCCTATCTTTCTACCTCACAGGTTTTCCTAGAGGTTCTAGAGAAAGGTACTAGAGCTAAGTCAGAACAGAGGAGGAGCGGGAAGCAGCAGCAATATTCTGTGGATTCGTTGACTGACCTTTTTTTCTTCCTTTGGATAACCTACCTAAATCATGGCTGGGGGTGCTGGCCTCAAGACCTCCTCTTCCCTCATCAGGGAGTGGGTGGGGGGACAGGAGAATCTGCTGACTGTTGTACCAACTGCCTTTCCACGTTCCGGGTCATTCCCATTATCCTCGAGAAGCATTCTGGATGCTTTTGCCAGCCTCATTCTGTGATCGAAGAGCAGTTGAGCAAAATGAGGGTGATGTGGGCTGGGTGGATGTAGGCAAGCCCCAGGGACCGTCCTGCACACTGAACTCACTGGAACTTAGGAATAAAAGAGGTTGGGCTTGGTTGGTACTGGGAAGTGCAGACCTTCAGCCGTCCGTGCCTCACTTCACACTACAGTGTATTTGCTCCCGAGTCTAGTCAGTTCTAACTGGGCGAAGCCCTGCAGTCTGCAGCTCCAAACTAAGGTCTCAGTGGTCACTGGACCTTCACGGTGTAGACTCACATCTGCTGTTTATTCCTCTATGGAAAGACGCCAAGGAGAGCTTCTGAAACAACCAGCGTGCTTGCTCTTGATACTGATTTGATCATGACGGAGGGAGAAGACAAGGAGGAAGAGGATGACCCTGAGGGCCAAATGGATCTCTGCAGCCAGGGCCAAAGCTGCCACTTTTGATGCTGAGCTGATCCCTTCTGGAAACCAGCTCGAAGGCGCAATTCTGCAGAAGTGCAGGGTTCTAAGTGAGCCAAGGCAGGAGAGGGCCTCTACCCTTGTCTTTGCTACTCCAGTCTGGGCTGGGAGGACTAAAGAAAATGTTGAACGCTTGCTGGGTGTGGTGGTTCATTCAGAAAATCTCAGCATTTGGGAGGCTGAAAAAGCAGGAGAATCATCATGATTTTGAGACGTGCTTGGGCTACATTCAACCTGAGTTGCTGAATGAAACTCTGTTCCAAGAAAACAAGCAGATAACTCTCAGAAACCACGGTGGCTGCTTCTGTGTTCCTGGAGACCCAGAAAAACTTTAGATGATCCATCACCAAGGCTACACAGAACTTGAGCATAACCAGAAACTGCTTCAGTTAATAACCCTTCCCTCCCTTGCACCGTGCAGGGAAGGCACACCTCAGGTGGCTGAGGGCACTGTGCAGATACGCATGGCTATGTTCTGATATCCTGGGTCGACTCGGGATCAGGAAGCTGCTTCTGGCGTTTCTAGCACCAGGTGCTTGGTGATACGATCCGATCCGGGAGCAGTCTGGTGCAGGGGAGGGAGCAAGCATACGCACATTGGAAGGGGAGTCAGGACCACTTTGCTTAGTTCTGCAGCCAACCGTCTGAGTCATAATGGCTGAGACAAGGTTGGAGTGGAACTTTTTCTGGAAGAAATTCTAAAAGGCTTCAATCTGTGTCCTGTGTCCTGTGTTCCACAAAGAGAAACACACACATTGTTTCTGAAGGTTGTCCCACCAGACCTTTTGTAAACGCGGTGGCATTTACATTATTTACATTATTGACACCTTGTTCAGGGCAGGTAGAATGCTGAACCATATAGAACACATCACTATGTTTTCTCATGCAACAGGGAGCTACCCACTCTCTCTGGGTTCTCATTTAACCTTAAGGAGGAAAAAGCAAATTCTGTGTGAGGTCAAAGAGGCACAGTCCAATGACCTTCTCCGCAGGGGGCACAGGCTCTTCTCCTCTGGATTCCTGCTGTTGGCTCTAAGCCTGGGTAGCATTATGTGGGGTTCCCTCTACTCTGTTCTGAAAGGCTCCACTTGTTGCATAGGGTCTAGCTTCTTTCTTTTGGCATCAAGATCCCTAGGAGGTCCAGCTGCGATGGGGCCTTTGTCAGCCTACTCCCAGCAAGGATGGCACTAGCTTGCTCTGGGTATGTAGTAGGCTCCTAGGCTGGGCTTCCCTATTTCTGTCTGCAAAAACACCATTGAAAAGTATTGCCTCTTGTGTTGCTGAGGTCCGACTATAATGTCTGCATTTGATGGAGGTAAGTCAAGGCTTCAAAGGGGGCCTCTGCCCAAAGGCAAGCAAAACACTAATAAGAATGCAAAACCGAGCCACACAGATATCTCACAGGGTACCATCGGCAGGGGAGCAAGCATATGGTGGGTGTAGTGATGCCTTATCTGTCTAGAACGCCTGCACAGAGGAGCCACGGGGGCTCTCAAGGCTACTGCTCAGTCAGGCGGCATTGGAATGTCATGGTCAAGGAGATGGGAATGCACATAGATCATCAGTTCCTGGGTCAGAGGCATCTAGGAAGCATGTTTCCACCAGGAACCGAGGCTGAGAAGGAAGGAGCCAGGGAAAGGCTCAAGTCAGCGAGTCTTCCTTCCTTCCTGCCCTCCAGCCCGAGTAGGAGGCTAGTCGGAGAAGAGGCTGGCAAAGGACTTCCTCAGGTTGCGGATGGTCTCAGCCTTGGCCTCGTCTTCACTTGGGGTCCCTCGATGGGAGGCATCTGACGTACTGAGGCTGTTAGTCAGGGACTGAGATTTGCTGAAACAGAAAGCAAGAGTTTGGGGATTGTCATGGCTGGGACTCCCAAAATGAATCTAGGGCCAGCTGTAAATAAATCTGGGATCTGCTGGCTGAGCCCACTCATCAAAGGATGGTGAGACCTGAAATCAGGCATTACAGTGTGTATAGGATGCTAGCCTAGAATTTGCAAGGTGTGTGTGGGGTATTGCATTCATTTTCTTAGGTCTAGAAATCGGGGTTTCCAGAGGCAAGTATTTGGCTTGGATAGACCTTCCAGCAAGAAGTAGGGAGCACTCACAGCTTCCATTCTTTCCCCCATTCCAGGCTGCTCCCTAATTTGTCAGCCGTAGTGAGCCATACCAGGTTCTAGTTATTCTCAGAGGTCCCAGCATTAGCTGAGAAACCAGCTAGTCCCTGTTCTAAATCTCCTGTCTCAGTTGAGGGATTTTCCAGATCAGAGAGGCCTGTGGTCCTGTCTGTGAGCATTGCCTTGATTGTTAATTGATGTAGGAAGGCCTGGCCACTGTAAGTAGTCCCATTCCCTGGACAGGTGGCTTTGGGCTATGTGAGCAAGCTAGCTAAGCAGGAGTCAGTGAGAAAGTCAGATGACAGCATTTTCCCATAGCTTCTACTTCAAGTTCCAGTCTGAGTTCATTTCCTGATTTCTCTCAGTGATGAACTGACCTAGAAGCTGAAACAAATCCTTTCGTCCCCTAAGCTGTTTAGAAAAAAAATTCAAGATTTTTATTTGTATTTTATGTGCATGGGTGCTTTGCCTGCATGTTTCTCTGTGCATTACATGCATGTAGAACCCATAGAGGCCAGAAGAGGGTGTTGGATCCTCTGGAAATAGTTACAGATGGTTATTAGCCTCCATGTAGGTGCTGGGAACGGAACCCTGGTCCTCTGATTGAGTGCTCTTAACTACTGAGATACTTGTCCAGCTCCTCTAAAATTGTTTTTTTTTTTGTGTGTGTGTGTGTGTGTGTGTGTTTTATCAGAGTGTGTTATCACAGCAACAGGAAACTAGACTAACCAGGAAAATAATTTTCTTCAGCTACATAAATTTACATTTGTTTGTTACACAGCAAATGATGACCGATACAGGGACCCTGAGGATGTGGTGGAGCCTAATCTGTACTCTCAAACTGCAGTCCCTGCTACACAAATGCCACCCTATAGGTCCACTTTTGGACCTTCTGGATTCTCGGCCAGGCTTTGGTAGGTTCTTTGTTCCTGATCCTGAATCAGCTTATCTTTGGATATACTCTAACTCTCCTCTATATCCATTCAGACTCTCAAATACTTACTTGAGGTGGGGGTGAGGTGGTGCTGACTTTTGGGGCTCTTCACCCTGCTGGGAGGTGCTGCGGCCCTGCACAGGTGGCCGGGGATATGGCTTGGAGGCCTGGTTTGGAGAAGTGCCACCAGATGCCCTGGATAACTGTGGAGAGCCTGGTGACCTCTGCTGCTGTGGAGATCCTGACTGAGGGCTCACAGGCTGCTGGCCTTGTGGGGAAAGCCTCTGTTGGGATGGACTTCTAGATCTGGGAGGCTGGGGAGACTGAGTTTGACGAGCGCCCCCTAGAAGCCAAAGAAAGAGTTAAATTTTAATTTGTTTTGGGGATAAATGTAGCTGTGCGCTTAACACACATGTTTATATAAACACGTTTTTCATAACTGAAAACAACATAGATGCTAGATCTCAGGGAGGTGGTTAAGAATATCAAGAAATGACTGGATGGCAAGGGACATAGCTCACTTGGTAGTGCGCTGGTCTAGCATACACGAAGCCCTATAATTGATTCCCAGCATGGTTAGGCATCATGGTGCCTGCCTGTAATTCCAGTATTCAGGAGGCAGAGGCAAGAAGATCAGGAGTTCAAAGTCATCCTTGATGATGTAGAGAATTCAAGGCCAGCATGAGCTACATGAGACCCTGTGCTGGAACAAAAATACCCACAAGAAAGCATCCGGATGATGGAGTATGGGCTGATTGTCATGTGCTGTGTCAGGGTACCATTAACCGACCCCTTGACAGTATGTGCCACGTGCACACCACTACACGGAAGGAGAAAAAGCCATTTATAAGGTTGTATGTATTTGTTTCTTGTTTGTGCACTAATGTATAGAGCAATGTAATAAAGAAACACTGGAAAGTTGCACATTAGAACTGGCAGGTCTCACACTCCAACATACGGATGGGTTTGTGGGGCAACTGCAGCAGGTTAGGGATTTGGCATGGTGTTATAGACAGAAACATGCTTTCTTAAATGCAAAGGTTGATGCCTTAACCCTCAATGTGACTACTGCATTTGGAGAGAGGGACTTTAGAGAGGTAATGAAGGTTAAAGGTCATAGGGTGAGGTTTTGATGCAGTGGGTATGGAGTCCTTATATGAAAAGGAAGAGGTAAGCAGGAAGATGTAGAGTCCAGTGTAGTGACTCAGGAGGTTTTGGCAGGAGGACTGTGTCAAGTTTGAGGCTAGCCTTGACTATACAGTGAGTTTCAGTCTAGTCTGTTTAGAGTGGGACACTATCTGAGACACCAAGACTTAATTCCCTCTTGGGATAAGACACAGATCTCGCTCTCTTTCTAAAGGGGGTAAACATAAGGAAATTACTTATGGACTCTTGTCTCTGGAAATGAGGGAAGGAAGAGCAGGGCCCAAGGCAAAGGACAACAGCCCTTACTAACCTGGGGTAAGGATGCTGTGTAGGAACATAGCTGGATGCTTTCCAGAGAGGCTAAAGATTGACCAGGAGTGGGAGTGGGAGACTTAAGATAAAATCCAGGCTTTAAGTAAAAGTGTCACGATTTTTGAATGCTGACTTTTTGTTTTCTTCACCCAGTGCAGGTCAAACAAAACATCTGCTTTTTTCCTTTTATCTTAAGCCCTCCACCCCCAACCCTGGTGGATGCTATCTTGGAAAATCTGTGTCCTTGTTTAATAACTCATTGAGTATTTCATGTGTTTCTACTTTACCACTGGGATCCATCAGGAGATACTTGGTTGTTTCTTACAGCTTTTTGGCAAATCAAACAACTTAGTATTTTTTATTTGAGCATATACTATATATATGTATACATACATACATACATATAGTTTCCTAAGCATAGAATTGACCCTAAAAAGATAAAATTTATTAAAAGAAAACTTCATGTTTACTGAATTTGAAAATGGGTTCAAAAATTAATAATGTGATTCTGATTGTTATTTATAGAAATTGGTAAAAATGTTTTTAAGTTAGCCTTGTTATTTTTAGTCTGAATGTTAATTCACTGAGTATTTCTTTTAATTGCTTCAATTGATGTAAAATTGATTATTTTTCAATTTACCCATATGGAGTTGACCCACACGTTCCCTAAAGTAATCTCTCTTTAGCAAGCTGCTTCTCCTCTGGGCCAGAGAGGAGATGAGAATACACTAGCTCTCTGATATATTTATTTTTTTCCAAGACAGGGTCTCTCTGTGTAGCTCCGGCTGTTCTGGAACTCATTCTGTACACCAGGCTGGCTTCAAACTCACAGAGATCCGCCTGCCACTGCCTCCGAGTGCCAGGATTAAAGGCGTGTGCCACCACCAACAAGCTGCTCACTGATTTTTAAAGAGGTGCCATTGAAAGGTTTAAAGAATCATGGAAAGAGCAGAAAAGGAGACAGCAGGGCCAGGGGCTCGATTAGGCAGTGAATGTAGAATCTGGGGCCATTTGTAAGGAGAGAAGGGCTTTATGTGTCAGAAGGGTTGTGACTGACAACCATGAAAAGCAATCTATCAATCAGAATTGCTGGTAAGACAGCCGGTACTAATAGTAAGAGCTGTGTAACGGTCATTAATTGTAAACTATTAGCAGTGAGGACTGAGCCACTAAGTACCACCCTTTGTCAGACCCCTTGCTAATGGAGTCAGCGTTATCCTAAAGACAAGTCCCCATTATTCATCACGGAAGCTATGTTTTCCTCTATTGTCACTGGGGAAACTGCGGTTTGAAGGGGTGTTACCATTTACCTAAACCACAGAGGTGGTGACATGGGACTGGACTGAGTCCCCAGACACTGCCCGGAGAGCAATGCCGTTCATCACACAGGGCTTGCTTTAGCTTTGTCTTAAAGGCCCCCAGAGGTCTAAGTGTTAGAGGCTTCAGGCCAGTTTGTGCCACTCTGGGAATAAAGTGGAAGGGGTGGGGCTTAATGGAAGGAAGTTAGGTCACTGGGGACACACCCTTGAAAGGCAGATGGGGGCCTGATCCCTTTCTCTCTGTTTCCCTGCTGCCGCAAGTAAAGTGGCTTCCTCTGTGAAGTCCCCACTGCTGTGAATACTGTCATCACAGGTCCCAAACACAGGGCCAAGGGACTGGACCTCTGAAACAGGAGCTGAGCCTTTCTCCTTTAGAGTTCAGGTACTGGTGACGGGAAGCTGACCAACACAGGGGTAGAGACCTGCCATCTCCTTTAGTTGAACTCCTGTGTGTGGGGAGCAGGTTACTGTCCACAGAATGTTTCTGTTCTCTATTTTAAAGAGAACTGAGTTACTTGGGCGGCGGAGGCTTGTCCCTATAGAAAGAAAGCAAACCTTTGGGAGGGAGACTCAGAAATAAATGTTGAGGCTAACTCTGGACTCCAGAATGAACACAGTTTTGGATATGTTATTAAATGGAGAGAGAGAGAGAGAGAGAGAGAGAGAGAGAGAGAGAGAGAGAGAGCGCACATACGCACATATCTGCATACACAGTACAAACCTGCATGTGGTTAGAGGTCAACCTCTGTGTCTCCCACCCCTGCTTTTTTTGGGACCAAAACTCTAAGTAGCTTCATTGACAAACTAGCCTCAGAGATTCCCTCTATCTCCACCTCTCCAGCTCTAGGATTACACTGTCACATCCAAGTTTTATTTTATTTTATTTTTTTATGTGGGTACCAGAGTTCAGAGCCAGGTCCTCATGCTCGGAAGGCATTCACTTACCCACTAAGCTGTCTCCTGAGCATCTTTTGAGACAGGATCTCACACTATAGTCCAGGCTGGCCTGGCATTGAACTCACTTGATAGTCCAGACTAGCCTGAAACTCACAGGAATCCTGCTGCCTCAGTTTCTTTTGTGCTGGGACTCATCAGGTCAGGCCTTGTTTGCTAAATTCCAAGAAGACTATTTGACCACAGATACTGATGATTAAAATGCCACCTAACTGGTATTTTGACAAATACAGTAACTTTTAGTCCATAGTTAAATATAATTTGGAGTATATTGGGGGGGTAGTCAATTTCAAAGGCATTTATATGAGAAAGTAAGCTCATCTGGAGGGTTATGCTAAGTAAATGAAGTAATGGGGAAAGGAAGGAAGGAGAGAGAAGGCTGAAAGGGAGGGAGGAGGAGAAGAGGAGGGGTCTCTTTCATCTAGAGCTGTGTAAGAGACCATCTGCTGCCCAAGACCCACTGCTCCCCAGCAGCAATGAATCTTTGATAGATACGATTATGAAGTCCAGGACAGGATGGAAATGCCTTCTGTCGAGATTGCGAGGAGGGCATCTCCATGCCAAGCTGCTCTGAAGCCCAAGCTGGCCCAGAACAGCAGGCTGAGCACACGGATCTGCTACAAGGGACATGCTTGGTAGGTGCTCCCCTTGAGCCTGGGCATGGGAAACTCTCTACACCTGACCTCCCTCCAGCAAATCCTTAGCAATTCTCACGATCCTCCCTCCTCTTGTTATCCAGTTGGGATTCACCCTCTAACAAGTCGCAGCTCTTTTGGAGCAGTGCAGGGAAGGCTTTGAGGAAAAATGTCAGCAGCTGCGGGTATAATCTTCTGGGTGCCTTCTCTTTCTCACTCCGGCTGGTTGGCTCGTAAATGTATCCTCAGGCACCACTAGTGGCTAGAAATAACATTTCCCAGAAGGTTTGAAAGTCCAGGCTTGTAAAGCTGCCATCTTCTCACTGTGCCTTCCTGGGCAAAGCTTCAATTTCTTACTTGGGAAAAGGGAGACACTAAGGCTTCCTCTACAAAGTGGCTGGGAGGATGGAGATGCCCTAGCACAGGGCCCGGCACATTAATTACTCGACAGTCATGTTGTTCTCTCTTTCTAACTCCTTCCCTGATCTTAAGGGGAAAGCAGCCCTCCTAGCTTCCTCATCCTGCAGATGGAGGGAGTGTTCAAAGCTAGAAGATAAAGTGCCAGGATGGACTGTCTAGACCAGCTGTGACCTCTCGGGGTTATGAGTAACCCTTTCACCGTTAGGGTTGCCTAAGACCATCAAAAACCACAGATAATTTATATTATGATTCGTAACAGTAGCAAAATTACAATTATGAGGTAGCCACGAAAATAGTTTTATGGTTGGGGGTCACGACAACATGAGGAACTGTATTAAATCCGTAGCATTAGAAAGGCTGAGAGCCACTGCTCTGGACGGTCTCCAGCAACACGTTTTTATTGATTCAATTATTATTTAATTACTCTGTGTGTCAGCACACACCCTTGGATGTGCAAGCAGAGTCAGAGGACCTTGAGTGTCTTCCTCTGTTGCTTCCTAGATTACGCCCTGTAGACCAGTGGTTCTCAACCTTCCTAACGCTGAGATCCCTTAGTACATACAGTTCCTCATGCTGTGGCGACCCCCCCTCCAACCATTAAATTATTTCATTGCTATTTCATAACTGTATTTTTCTACTGTTATGCATTGCAATGTAAGTGGCTGATATGCAGGATATCTGGTATGTGACCTCCTTGGGGGCCATGACCCACAGGCTGAGAACCACAGCTTTAGACAGCATCTGTTATTGAACCTGAAGCCTGCCAATTCCGCCAGACTCCCTGGTGAACAAGCTACCAAGAGATGCCTGTTCCTCCCTTCCTCTAGTGCTGGAGCTACAGGCGTGTTTGGCTATGCCTAGCTGATTTCCCTGAGTGCTGGGGATTTGAACTTAGGCCCTCACATCTGTACAGCAAGTGCTCTTATCTGCTGAGCCCCCTCTCTAGACCTCTGCATGCCATGTCGACATCCACACCAAAAGAGTGTTTCTCAGTGGCTTCCTGAGTCTTACCTTGGGGAGGCGGCCTTGGCTGGGGCTGTCCTAGCTGAGATCCCAGCTGGCCTTGCCCTGGAGATTTTGCAAGTTTAGTCTGTGGACCCTAGGGCAAGAGAAGAGAAAAGAAGCCTGTGGCAACAGAATTTCTGGGTGGGAATCGAGGCCTTATACATTTTTTAAAAAAAATCACTGACGTAAAACCCACGATGTATGATTCTTCAGTGTATAGATTTTCGGCATAGCCCCCAGGAGCTTGCTGGGTTGGGGGATAGAGAAGCAAGAGACACAATAGTCTTTGTGGACTTGTGCCCTGGGAACATAGGATATATGTGTACATGTATTCTTGCATACACAGTTGCACACATCCAAGCGCAGGCCCAAGATGGGGACAGAGAACACTGTGTTGATGAACACTGGCAACAGTCTGGGCAAAGGCTCATGGAATAGGAGTTTTCTTCCCAGGGCATAGGAGGTAGAAAGATGACCCTGCACCCCTCTGTCCCCATCCCATTCTTCCCCACGATGCCTGCCTGGGGTTATCTCCAATAAACCCTGGGGGTTTTCATTCCATAACCTCCTTTGTTCTCAAGAGAACCTTACCCAAGGTCTCAGGGGTGAGGGCACCGCACTCCCTGGCACCAGGAGTTGGCTCATTTTGGAGACAACAAGGTCGGCCATTAAATGCTTGTCCTCTTCGACATGCTCTCCAATCAGAGGCATTGAACTGTCCATGACCTAGGAGGAGGGAAAGGAGGCTGAAGTACTCTGAGTTAAGACGGGCTTGGCCTTCTGGCTTCCTGATCTAGGAGTGTTGACGCTGGGCTCTGGAAGGAATGACCACTAGATGGCAATGTCCTCCATGCAAACAGCCCAGCCGGCCCCTTCCTGTTGTCCGAGCCACCAGCAGACATCCAGTTCTGTTTCCTTCTCAACAGACTCCTGGATTCAGTTCAATTCAGCCTCCACATGCTGGACTCCAGCAACGTGACCAGGGCCAGGGTAGCATGCCTGACCTTTCCTGTATTTTGCTTTGGGGTTTGGTCTCTGCCCCCTCATTTCCCACCCCAGTTTCCTCCCAGGGTTGGGACTGATCCCCTAAGGTTGAAGATGTCCTCAGAGCTGGAAACAGCAATGGTGGGGGCTCAATCACAACAACAACCAAAAATCTGACATAGGCTGGAAGTGACCCAGGGTTTATAGAGAAGACAGAAGAGGACAAGGGGTTGGTCCAGGGCCCCTGCAGGATGCAGGCTCGAAGTGAAACACCCTCGAAACCGGGCTGTTCTTTGGGAAGAGGGATGGCAGCCCTGGGAGGTCATGTTGGCCTAGCCTACTTTAGTGACAGATGGGAAACTGAGGTTCAGAGATGAGAGCCAGTGGACCAGCTGATCACCAGACGCAGGCAGTTTGGCAGTCTTAAGGGAACATAAAGACTTGGCAGACCTGAGACAGAGCTGTGTTGGCCACCTGCAGGAGCCCAGTCTTCCTCTGTCACCTGCCTCACTCGGTGAAACCCTCTTTGGCCAGCTCTGGGGTAATCATACAGTCTCATTTCCAGATTCCGTACCCAACTTTCTGTGCCACCCCACCCACCGGTCACCTGGCTAACTCCTTATTTGTCCTGAAACACCTAGTCAGCCCTTCCTTCCAGACTTCAGGACCTCACGATTTCCTAGGAGCCCCTCTGTGCCTGGGTCTTTGCTGAGCTCACATAACCGTCCCTTTAGAAAACTTAGCTCCAGAAGTAGCATTTGCCATCTGTAAGCCCATGAAGTCAAGGGCGGCCTGTGTCCTGGAGGAAGGGGTAAGCCTGTTTGCCCTGGGAAGGCCCTGATAGTACAATTTCACTAAGCACTGATGATATATGGGTATAGATGACATCAGCTCTATCTCAGAGCATCACTCTGCAGGGGTGGGCTTTTTGGTAAGAAGCTCACCTGGCATGCTTGGGGCCTTCACTTCCATCCCCTGCACCTATAATCCCAGCATTCAGAGGGTGGAGACAGGGGCACGAGATGTTCAATGTCTTCCTACATATTGAACTTGAGGGCTACATGGGACCCTGTCTCACAACAACAGGTCTTTGAAGCTTATGGTTACTCTGATTATTCTCACCAGAGTGATGAGGGTCAGATGGGGAAGTTCTCACCAAGTATTGGGTGGCTCAGTGGTCAAACTTTGGATGCGGCAGTTGGGGTTCCAGGTCTGTGTTCTGCTATGGGTTTGCTTGGGTCTAGTGTCTGTCAACTGTAAACTAAGGGTTCCGGCAGTTGCTAAGACCCTCCTGGCAGTGGCTTTCAGGGGTCGGTGGGTACAAGCACCCAGTGTGCCTTGGGGACTGAAAAGCAAACTAGGGCATGGGTATGGACCCCAGAAGGTCCTGCAAACTGTCCCTAAATGGAGTTCTCTGAGGTGGGTGTCCTGCCTGGGTCACAAGTAGTCTCCATCACTGGTTTTAAAGGTACCAGGTCCTGTCCCCAAAGGTCCTGGGCTCCCAGCCTGGCCTGTCTCTCGTCCCTCACACCCTGCCCACTGCTTTCTGCCCTGGATGTCCCCCCACATTCTCTGCAGTGGAAAACAGACACGACAAGGAGCCAGAGGTCAGGAACTGGAGTCCCCACAGTGGACACAGCCAGAGGAAGTGGACACTCACTCTCCCCAGGGAAACATTTTTTCCCAGTGAGCAAGGTCGTCCCCTGGGCCAGGTCAGAGAGGACGAGGTTCAGGGTGTTTCCCCTAAGCGCCCTCACTGAATTAATGTGCCGTACAAGTCCTGTGCTCTCACGCAGAGGTGACTGGGAGACAGTGGATTTCTGCTGCCTCTTTCCTCCTTACTGGGGGGAAAAAATACATTTTCTATTCCTAGGAACTGACTTCCTCTCTTTCTGATTCTATCCCAAACCTCAAAGGAAAACAATTCTCTAATGTTTCCGAGGGGGGAAAAATCCCAAATCTGAAAGACATCTTTTTTTCTTTGAGATTTTTCTGGAACATTTTTGAAAAGTTGTTTTCTTATGTTTAGAAGACCCAAGCTGACTTTTTTGTTTGTTTGTTTTTAAATGTGAAGCATCTTTCGTCCTTGACCTCACCCCTAACCCCAAGTGTCTGGAACTAGATGGGAAGTGTCTGGAGGGATGTCAGAGACTAGAGACCATATGTGTGTGTATGCATGTGTGCATATGTATGTGTATGTGTGTGTATGTTTGTTTGTATGTATGTGTGTGTGCATGTGTGTATGTATATGTGCAGGTGTATATGTGTGTATGTGTGTGTGTTTGTTTGTATATGTGTATTGTGTACATGTGTGTGTATTTATGTATGTGTATATATTTGTATGTTTGTGTATGTGTGTATGTGTGTGGTGCTGAACTAAGAGAGGAGGGAAACAGTTCATATTTTTCTTCTCACTTTTTAGAGATTCATTTATTTCGTTTGTGTAAGTGTTTTGCTTGCATGTATGTATGTACATACTTTTCCAGATGGCTGTGAGCCACCATGTGGATGCTGAGAACCAAACCTAGGTTCCTCTGGAAGAGCAATGAGAGATCTTGGCTACAAGTCATCTCTTCTGCCCTTGGTGCTCATTCCTAATGGGATAGCAGCCCTTTCCTACTCCCCTGCCACATCTGAGCCCTGTTCATTTGGCTTCAAGCCCAGGGCCCAGAGTGAAGAAATGAGTGTGTGCGCGCCCAAACCAGAGTCATGTCTAGTGTCCTAGTGAGGAAAGGTGATGCTGGGTGGTTTGCCAGGAGTTGCTAATGTCCCTGGTGAGGAGGACCTCTGCTCACTTCTGTTCTGGGAATGGTTGGAGGAAGAGCATTCCCCAACTTGAGTCAAGGATGGGATCCTACATAGAGATGCCTCTTACTGGTGGTAGCACCCAGCCTTTCTGGTGAGCCAGCTAGTGAGACTGTCTCTGGCTCTGGGCTCTCGGCTCCCTCGACCCCCACTGCCAAGGCAGCCCTTCCCTGACCTGCCGGTATGCCTTTCTAAGGTGCCAAACTCCTACCCACTCAGTTACCCGATGCTCTTTGCCTGTTGGTCCTTGGGCAGTGGGGTGGACGTGAGGGACCGGAGGACTGATCGGCTCCTGTGGTCACAGCTGCAGGGGAAGGGTGGCCACAGGGCTCCCCTCACGTGTCTTAGCCTAGGGTAAGCCCATTCCTCCCTCGCCTTAGGGGTTGAGAAGTGAGCCTCATGGAAGGAGTGGGCAGAAAGGACCGCATGTGACTGTCGAGCTGGTTGCTGAGATTGGAGGGGAGCCCTGAGGCCACCAGGGTGTTTCAGGTTAAAGCTGCAGAAGTGCTGGGGGCTGGGAGCTGGAGGAGAGAGAGTAGGAAGGGGTTGTAGAGGGAAGAGAACACTGCGGGACGGAGAGATGCATGGGCTGCCAGAGTCCTTAGAGCGGCTCTGGATCCCAGGACCCACCTTTGAACATCTCTTACAATTCTATTTCTGGCAGTTGCGTCTCTCCCTGCAGCTACACTCTGTACAATGGGTGACCTTTTGCTTAACAATGCTTTGCCATTTTTTTTTTTAATGTTATCTTCTCTCACAGCTTGCTAATTCTGCTGTGCTCAAGACTGTGTCTCGGGATTACCCCATGCCTGGTCTAAAGAACCTTCTGGAGCCCACGTGTGTTGAAAGAACTTAAGGATAGAACCTTGCACGTTGGTGAGGGAATTGCATTCGTGTCGTGTCCATGAACACTGAGGATACTGGACACTGGCACAGCATTGTGTGGAGTCTTAGCCTGATAGGCTGGGGAACACTGTGCCCCGAGTTCTGAACTCTGCAGTCAGAGTGCTGGGCAGGAAGGCCCCCACTGTTGCTGCAGCTGAGGTGGGTACATGAAGCACTCTGGGTGACTCCCTATACCCTGAGCTACATGTGGCAGGCCAGAGCTGGGGGTTGGTCAGTTCGGAACTTTTTCCAGCTGGGATGGTCCAGGCTGGACCCTCCTGCTCCATTTCTCACCTCGATGATGTAATCTCTCCCATCCTTGCTGTGCACAGCCTTGACAGCACAGATGTCCAGGCCGCCGAACATCTCTGAGCAGCTGTCCACCCATAGCCTATACCTGCAAAGACAGACAGACTGACAGTGAGCATGGGGTAAGAAGCAAGGCAAGAGGTCAGAGGGAGACAGAGGAGTGAAGGAAGGCCAAGGAGTGGGGGCACTCAAGAAGCAGGGACAGAGGATGAAGAAGAGAAGGAATAAGAACCAGGAGGTCTTGGAGACCCATGACCACCCTTTGGCTGTCCCTGGACCTCAACTCTGCAGCAGCAGGAAGCTTGCCTTGCCCCCATCCAGGGCCATCCCGACACCCAGCCACCCCTGTAGTCCTTTTCCCTTGGGAAAGCGGCTTGAAGGACTCTAAAAATCCCTCCAGGCTACCCTCCCTGCTCAGAGCCCCAACCAGACAAGAGCCTGTGGGGGACAAAGGACCTCATTCTCCTGGAGTGGGGGTGGGAGGGACATGGGGGCAGGGAGCTCCCTCAGACAGCTCCTGACTTTCCTGGGGGCCTGGCCCTCTGGACCAATTGCTTTTGTTCCTATTCCTGTGACTGACAGCTGCAGGGCCAGTTTGCTTTGCTGGGGACAGATCTGGGCTGTGAACTTTGACCCTGCGACAAGGGGTTGGTTGTATCTGGGGAGATCTTCTGGGCATGCACTTGGCTTTCTTTGTGGACTAGATTTGGTGGCCACAGGCGACTTTGTGTTAATGTCCCTGCTTCTCTCCCCACTCTCTGAGGTCACGTGGGACACTCCAGCTCTCAGATCTGTTTGTACGTTTGAGCCACGTGACCTGGAATGAGGAGGGAGCGTGACTGACAATTTCTAAGAACCCACTCTTTGATCGTATCCACCAGGGGCCACTGAGGCCTAGAGAGAAGGTCTCTTTCTGAGGTTATACAGCAGGGCAGTAACATGGTCATGGTCATCTAGATCTCCAACTAGAACCCAACCCTAGTTCGAAAGATCCAACTGCAGCCAGGAGTGTGCTGGGAGTAAAAGTCAGGATAAAGAACCATTATTGTGCATGGCAGGCTAACTCCTCATTCTTTCTAATTCTAGCACAAACTGATCAAGGAGGGAGGGTTGAACTCATTGCTTTCAGGTGAAGACGCTGAGGCTGAGAGAATAATAACTAACAGTGTAGCTTCCAGTCCCAGATCGTGTCCGTGTCCAGGTTGGAAGCAAACCTCCTTCCCTTCATTTGGAGCCTGCCCCAGTGTGTCTGTTTTTACTTGACATGGAAGAACTGGAGAGAGAGAGAGACAGAGAAAGAGAGAGACAGAGAGAAACAGAGAGAGACAGAGAGAGACAGAGAGAGGGAGACATAGAGAGAGACACACACAGAGAGAGGGAGACACAGAGAGAGGGAGACACACAGAGAGAGACACACACAGAGAGAGGGAGGCACAGAGAGAGGGAGACAGAGAGAGACAGAGAGAGAGGGAGACATAGAGAGACACAGAGAGAGAGGGAGACACAGAGAGAGGGAGACACACAGAGAGAGACACAGAGAGAGAGGGAGACACAGAGTGAGGGAGACAGAGAGAGACAGAGAGAGACAAAGAGAGGGAGGCACAGAGACAGAGGCAGACAGAGAGGAGGGGGGGAGACAGAGAGACAGAAAGAGAGAGAGAGAGAGAGAGAGAGAGAGAGAGAGAGAGAAAACACATATTGGGTAGGAGCACATGTATGCACAAATTGCACATATGAGTGGCAGGGCCCAAAGTGAACCTTGGGTGTTCCTCAGGAGCCCCCTACCTTAATTTTTGAGACAAGGTCTCCCACTCCATGTGGAGCTTGCTGAACAGTGTAGCTGACTGGCCAGCGTGCCCCGGGATCCTCTTGTTTCTCTCTCTCCCCCAGTGCTGAGATCACAGCTGCATTCTGCCATACTGGCCTGGCTTTTTAAAGGTGCGATCTGGGGATGGAACCCATGCCCTCATTCTTGGGTGGTAAGTGCTTTCCGGACTGACTTACCTGCCTCCCTGGCCTGTGTTCTGAATGTTTCGTATTAGTTTCTAGGTGATTTTTGGATGAGCCTTTCCTTCCTGATGCCTCCGTTTCCTTTATTTGATGCTTCTTGTGCTTGGGGCTCCAAAGATAATGAAGCCCGTGTACAGATAAACGGGCAGCTTCTGGATTCTACCCTGTGTTACTGGGTGGTCTCTACCTAGTCTCAGTGCTGCATACAATGCTCTAACTGATGCACAGCCACATTTGGCAACAACATTGATCCATGGGGCTTTGAGAGGCTTCTGGGAGCCAGGTGTTAGAGTTACTGTATTTGGCGCTGGTGACTCAAGGGACACAACGTGCTCAAGGTGCACTATGCCTGAGACACATTTATGAGTCAGGTTCTTCCCAAGAGAGATATAAGTCTAGACTTAGGACTGGAGGCAACTAGTTTCCAAAGGTTTTTTTCAAACGATGGACATCTAAGTTATGTGTGTGTATCACCCTAGGGCCAGAAACCCCAGGGGCCAGGAAATATGGGAAAGGTCCTCCCTTCAACCAGGTAGGGTTGAACCCTAACCCTAACCCTAACCTAATCAAACGGAATGAATTACTCGGGAACCATGGAGGGCCTGGGCCTGCTTAAGGGACTCCAGAGACTTTGGAAGTGTAGGAATGGGACCAGGGAGTTCTGTCCAGGCCATGGGCACACCTCACAACTGTCTGAGGGACAGTGCATGTTAGACTGAGGGGAAGACCCTGTCCTGTCTTCCGGGTTCCTGTTGGAGTCATCCTTGTGGCTCGAGACAGAGCAGAGCCACAGGATAGTGATGTGCTGGAGGTCCCCACCATAAACTTCTGAGGCCAGGAAGAGGGTAAGATTTACTGACTGCAAGAGTCACGAAGAAGAGGGCACTGGTTGTCCATGAATGCCCCCCCTACCTGGGGGAGGGGTGTGCCAGGTACTTGGCACAACCTCACAAGATTAGCTGGTACAAGGGAGTTCCCAAATGGCAGCTGCATCTCCTAGCTGGGCCTGCTGAGAAAGGCAGGTATCCACCCTGGCAGGGGCTTCTGCCGTGGTTAGCCTTTCTAACGGCATGCAGATTTGCCTCCATTTTTCAGAAGTTCAGAACTGTCTGTTACCTTATCTAGAATGGGGCAGGGGCACCCACCTTGGTTCATCTGGCTTCTTGAGCTTATAGACCCTGAACTGGAAGTTCCACAGGGGCAGGGTTAATGTGTCTCTTCCCCACCACCTTCTCCAAGGCCGAGGTCTAAAACTAGTGCACGGTGATTGCTTGTGACATTGTGTAGAGATGAAATAAAAGCCAGCTCCTTCAGGGTCCCACTCCTTCATGCTGGTACCTGTTCCTTCAGGAACCACGCTCTGGTCTCTCCTTCCCTATTCTTCTACAGCTGTTCAAGGCTCATGCTGCCCTAGCATTATTGTGTCATCCCTTAGACAAGTGGGGAAAGGTGGCTCTCATTAACATAGGCGGAGCAATTACTTTCCTTCCTACTAAAGACTTCTCAGTATGTGGCATTACATCCTTCCTGAGACTCAGTCACTGTTGAAACAGAGGCAGGCCCCACTCCAAACACAATCCCACAGCCTTCTCCGGCAGCGATTGGCTTAGGGATGATCCTATGATCCCAAGCCTGGCTAAGCAGTCAATAAGGTTCCATTTCAGGCTTTGGATGAAATGACGGGGAAAGATGGTTTCTTTCTGTCGGACTTGACCCTGAGACTTTAAGCCTGGTGATGCTGTGAACCATGGTTGGAGAAGTTTGACCTGACACAGCTGTGAAAGAACTGATGTCAGTGGAGATGAGGTCTTACGTCTCTCCTGAAAGCATGCCTCTTGGGTTTTCATCAACAAAAGCTGGTACATCCCCAAAGCTCAAACTAATGTGCTATGTTCTGATGCTTACAGATGACCCATGGTTCTCAGAGGAGAGAATCGAATCAGTGCCCTTTGCCGTGGCCTCTTTTCTGCTCAGCACACTGTGCACGCAGTAGGCTCTCAGTGTTTACTGACCATAGAGCGCATGCTGTGACCACTACTGCTGCATGCTCGCAGGCAGCGTTCAGTGATCTCCTAGGAAGGAGTGTGACTGGTTCAGAGAGCAGATGCCCAGACCTCCCTCAACTGAGAAGGTCACACAGCAGTGCCTAGTGGGACGAAGACTTGCAGGTTGTCAGCTACAGTGCACCCCAAAGTACACACAATTTAGGGGGAACTGGCTTTTCCTTCTTCAGATGGTTTGAGGAAGGCCTATATCCATTTTTTGATGGTCTAATACAAATGTTTTCTCCCAGTTATTTGCAAGCAACTGGGGACTGATGAAGGTTTCGGTCTCTTACCGAGGCAGCAGGGCAGGACCCAGAAAATCTCTGGACTTGAAGCCAGGATCTCAGTGTTCCACTCTGACCTCTGGGACACAGGGCAAACCACTTCCCTTCTCTGAAACCTTACCATCTGTAAGTGTTATTTTGACAGGTGCCCTGTTGTTGCTGCTGACCATAAGGGACAGCAAACTGGCAAACGGCTCTATGGGACACTGGACAGAGGTTGGAGTGTCATTCTCATGGATGCTGGTGCCTCTCTCCACATAACCTTTGTCTCTTACCTCTCCGTCATGGCCACCTGCTCCAGCATGGCAGAACCTGTGTTGGCCTTCCAGTTTCCAGAGATGGAGGTTCTCCTGGGTTAGAACAGATCACATTGAGGATATTAGGGATCTCTGCCACTAATCTGCTTTTCTTCTTCCCTTTGGTGGTTAGGAGATGTTGTTTCAAACCTCTGGCCCATAATAGACACAGCATGTACTTTTGGATCTGTAGCCTGTCCTCAACTTGATGTTTCTTTCTGTAATCTCCATTAATGCTGACTGATTTACTTATTCCTGAATATTGTGTATTGTTTGCCAAATGTTTTTGAAATTTAAAGATTAAATTGTGTTTCCTTATATTTTTATTTATTTTATTTTTTTTGTGTGTGTGTGTTTTGTTTGCACGCTGTGCTCCATGTGTGTGCAATGCACACAGAGCTTAGAAGAGGGCATTGGACCCACAGAAATTGGAGTTATGGAAGTCTATTATCCGCCATGTGGGTGCTGGGAAGCAAATCCTGGCTTTCTGTAAGAGTAATAACATGTGTTTAACCGCTGAGCCATTTTTTCCAGCCCCTGGATTAAAACTGAAATTTTAAAAAGGCTGCTCAGATAAAATGGTACAAACTTTGGTGCCTCAGTGTCCCCACTTCAGACCCCACATGGTAAGGCTTGACTTTTTTTTTTTTTTCCACATGAGCGGATCTGTGTGTCTGGGAACTTTATTCTTGAGAACAGAAGCATTTTCTCCATACTGAACTTATTTCGTAATCTTTTTTTATTTCCCTATTTTTTATTAATAATTTATAAAAATTTCCATTTCCTCCCCTCCTCCCAATACCTTCCCACTCTCCCTACTCCCTCTCCTCCTCCCTCTCCAGTCCTAAGAGCAGTCAGGGTTTCCTGCCCTGTGGGAAGTTCAAGTTCCTCCCCGCTCCCTCCAGGTCTAGGAAGGTGAGCATTCAATCAGACTAGGATCCCAAAAAGTCAGTATGTGCAGACAAAAGCAGTCCCAGTGTCATTGTCAATGGCTTCTCAGACAGTCCCCATGTCAGCCACATTCAGAGAATCTGGTTTGATCACATGCTCGTTCAGTCCCAGTCCAGCTGGCCTTGGTGAGCTCTCATTAGATCAGTCCCCTTGTATCAGTGGGTGATTGCCTTCCTCGTGGTCCTGGCTTCCTTGTTCACGTTCTCCCTCCTTCTGCTCTTCATTTGGACCTTGAGGGCTCAGTCCAGTGCTTCAATGTGGGTCTCTGTCTCAATCTCCATCTATCATCGGATGAAGGTTCCCTCTGATCCTGACTTCCTTGCTCACGTTCTTCCTAAGGCTTGACTTTTAGCATCTTGCGGTGCTATTGGGAGGTGTGGGAATCTTCAGCAAGTGATACCTGGGAACAGGAAGTTAGGTCTTGGGGGTCATGCCCTGGAAGGGACCTAAGTCCTTCTTGCCTCTCTTGGCTTCCTGGCCACCATAATGTGAGCAGCCTCCATGACTATGTTACCACAGGCACAAGGCAATAGGGACAAGGAACCATGTGCTAAACCCTCTGAAACTGTGACTCCGAATAAACCTTTCTTCTTTTCAAGTATTTTGTTACAACAATGGAAAAATGAGTAAGAGGCATGACCTCTTGCTTCTGAGGAGAACTAGGGCAGTGTACCACCTAGTGATTCTGGGATTTTTTTTATAGGCTTCTAAATGTAGGGAAAAAGATGATCTTAGGGAGGAAGTGATTACTTTCCCATGGTGAAGAGATGGGAAGCCTTTGTGACCTCTGCCTGCCGTGCTGATTCGGACTTTATTCTACTTCAGCCACAACTGTCGTCCTTCTTAGTGCTTGCCCATGTATGGCTTCTGTCCTACACACTCACTCTCCCCTTTGCCCCTGGTGGCCTTTGTTACCACCTTTCCTTCCTAAGTCCTTGCTCATCTTTCAGGCTTCATTTGAATATGACTCCCTTGTAGCAAACCTCCTGGACTGAATCTGGCTCCCTTGCAGCACACCTTCTTGTCCAGTCCTTATATGGCAGTCCATGCCCTACCCTGCTTCCCTTTCCTCTTCTCCCCCTGGCACTGTGCTCATCTAACTGTCCTGATGGGGGAGAAGCCCTAAAAACAGAGAACATGCTTTGCTCTGTCCTCTGGGCACACAGTTCCAATGGGACTCAGCACGTAGTAGGTGCTCGGTAGTTACTGACTGGGAGAGGGATGATGTATGCTGGGAAGAACCTCAGACACATAGGGGTCCCTGTAAGCAGGTCCCCAATTAAATGCTCTGTTTTATAGGTGTCTTCATGATGTCTCCCTACAGCAATAGAACAATAGAACATGATGTCTCTCTACAGCCCAGAGATGAGCTGTCACCAAGACAGCCCATCTCTGCGGAAAGCCCAGGCAGGAGCTCAAGCAGGAAGCTGTGAAGAGGGACTGCTGCAGAGATCACTGGGGATGCTGCTTCCTGGTGTGCTCTTCCAGTCCAGTTGCCTTTCTCATACAGCCCTGGCCCATCCACCCAGAGATGGTGCCACCTACAGTAGGTAGGGTCCTCCTCCATCAATTAGTAATCAAACAAACTCCGCACATACACACTAACATGGCCAATCTGACGGAGGCCATTCCTCAACAGAGTCCTTCTTCTTAGGTATGCCTAGGTTTGTGTCAAGCTGACAAAAATTACGACAACAATGCTCACAGGGTCAGCCTGGATATGGCTCAGTCGAAGAGTGTAAAACTGCACCCTGTTTAGGCTATTCCCTTCCTGTCTATACTGTGTTTGAGTCAGAGAACTGACCTGGTGAATTATCAATGGATATGGGCTCCAGAGATGCAAAAGAAACCCCAGAGTCACTGGATGAGGCCCCAGAACCTATGCATTGAAATCATTGGATGCGGCTCCAGAACCTACCTATCCATTGAGATATGCCTTGGCAGGTGAACAGCATTTGGCATAGTGAGTTGATGGTGGAAGAGGGTAAGGACTGAAGAACATTGTGGTGCTAGCATTTTCTAGTAATACGCCATGGGCAGCATCTCCGAGTCTTTTAACTTCTTCCTCGGTAAAATGGGAATAACTATAGGCCTGAGTGGGGTCCTACGTGAACAAGAGGAAACATTCCCGTCAACCTCTCAGTACAATTGGTTGTGCTGTTATTTTTAGCAAGAAAAGATAAAGAAGAAGACATTCCAAGGGCTGAGACAGCAGGAACTCAAGCCAGATTGCTCTCATTCCAAGAGGGCGGTAACTGGGAGAGCTGATACCCAAGGACAGCTTTGGACATCCGAGCTGTGTATCCAAGGGCTTTACAAGCATCAGCTTGAATCAGCCCCACTGAAGGGGATGGCACCAGAGTTATTCTTCTCTATTAACAGCAGACGCCCCCAAACTGTACTCCACAAACCCTTGACTCCTTAATCACACGTGTATGGAAGGGCCCTTGTCCTTGACTTGAATGAGATGCAGCCAGCGGGATGTGGGACGGAATGGAGGTTGTGGTCAAAGCATCCACCTGGGCTATAATCACCTTGATTTATTTGGGCTGATGTAAGGGAGGACCATTAGCTCTGTGATTTATAGACAATGATTCATTTCTTGTAGTCTGGAGGCATGGAAGTCCAAGTTCAAGTTGCCTAAAGAGTCATGTTTGATGATGACCCATTTTTTAGTCTGTGCCTTCTTAGCATGTCTTCACGTAGCAGGTGGAGCAAGGGGCCCTTCTGAGTTCTTTTTTTCTAGGAATACCTGCCTTAACCGTTAACTTGACACAGCCTAGAATCACCTGAGAAAAGCCATCTCAGTTGGGAAACTGACAGACTGGACCAGCCTGTGAGCATGTCAGTGGGGGTTGCCTTACTGTTAATTAATATAGGAGGGCCCAGCTCACTGTGAATGACATTATTCCCTAGAGAGGTGGTCCTTGGCTGTATAAGAAAGCTAACCAAGCATGGGTCTATAAGTCAGTCAGCAAATAGCGTTCTTCTGGGGTCTCTGCTTCAAGTTTCTAGTTGAGTTCCTGCCCTGACTTCCCTCGGTGATGGAAGGGAAGTTGAAATAAATTCTTTTCTCCCTAAAGTTGATTTTGTTCAGAGTGCTTCAACACAGTAGCAGAATGGAACTAGAACAAGCGCTGATTGCTTTCTGGAAGGTTCTACCCTGATGGCATAATCCCCTCTCTGACCCATCTTCCTAAGATTATCACTTGAGAAGGGGTGGATTTTCAATGTGAACTTGGGGAGGGGGTACATAAGACCAAACGTAAAACCTCGGAGGTGGAGGAGAAGCTCCTGGCTGAGCAACTCTGGACAAGAGTGAAGACTGAACGTGCTGGAGTTGGTAGAGTTGTTTCCCACTGTTTCAGGCACAGGCTGAAACTGTTCACATGGATGAGGGTCAAGTGAGTGACAGACGGGGGAAGTCAGCTTTTTCTTAACCGGCATAGGAAGAACAGACAGCAATCAGGAGGGCACAATTGAGCCACATGGTACTGGATGAAAGTCCAGACAGCAGTGTGACTTCATTAGAGTGTTACACATGCAGATGGATCTATAGAGAAATAATCACGGATGCTTGTATCCGAGCGGGCAAATATGCATATGTATGTCCTGGCTGTGCATTAGGAGCGTTTGCCAGCAGTGACACCCCTGGGGTAGCTAGCAGAAAGGCCTAAGTGCGGAGCAGGATGTGGGCCAGAGGAGGGTGAACGGTTATGGGCAGGGAGGACATTCGCCGCTCAAGTGTGGTATGAGCCCCATCCCTTGGCTGTGGACCAACCCAGGGTCCAAGAATCTCTGTAACCAATGACAAATTGGAGCTATCAGGCCAGAAGAGTTCAAAGAATGCAGCGATGAGGTAATCCTCGGAAAAGAAACTGGGGCAAGGTGACATCAATGACGAATGCAAATTCTAACAATGAAGGGAGGAAGGAAATGACACCATGGTGCCTCAAGAATGCACCTGATTGGGGCGGCGTGCATTTGTGCGTGCATGCGTGTGTGTGTGTGTGTGTGTGTGTGTGTGTGTGTGTGTGTGTATGCGTGCGCGTGTGTGTCTGTAGGTGAGATCTAATCCCCTGAGACACTCTGAGAGAACGTGTAAAGCTGTAACAGCTCTGGCCTGCCCTGGGGGAAAGAACTGGGTGGTTGACTGACAGGGTGGAAGAGAACTATCCCTTGGAAATCGGCTTTATCTCTTTTATGGGACTGTGTCCTTATTGGCCAATTGCATGTATCTTTTCCAGTGTCTCAGGAAATGGTACAGTTGCAATCAAGTGCATGGGTCTCAAAGCCTAAAATCTCCCCTACACACACACACACACACACACACACACACACATATATGCACCTGTTGAGGCTGGGGAACCCTGGGTGTCATCCTCAGAAATCTGTCTCCTCTGCAACAAGGTCTTTCATTGGCTGGAGATCAACAATTAGAATAGGTTGGCTGGTCAGGGAGCCCCAGAGAGCCTTCGTCTGCTTATCTAGTGTTTGGATTATAAGGGCTTATGATCATACCTATTACTTTTGTGTTTTGAGAAAGGGCCTCACTATGCAACTCTGGTATCCTGGAACTTACTATGTAGACCAGGCTGGCCTCCAACTCACAGAGATCCACCTGCCTCCCAAATACTGAATGAAATTAAAGGTGTTCGCCGCCACACCCAGCCTCATACCTGGTACTTTTATGTGGGATCTGGGGATTGAACTCAGATTTTTGTGCTTGCAAACCAAATGCTTTACTCATTGAACCTACCCCTCCCCCAGGCCTATTTAAGATCACACACACACACACACACACACACACACACACACGTATGTGAGTGAGCATGGAAGCCAGAGGTCAATCTTGGGTGTTGTTCATCAGGAACCATTGACCTTGGTTTTTGAGACAGAGTCTCTCACTGTGGCCTGGGGCTTGCTAATTATGTTAGACTGTCTGGGTAGTGAGTCCCAGGGGTCCTCCCCAAGGCTGGGATTATAATCATGCACCATCACATCTTTTTAGATGGATGCTGGGAATTGTACTTAGGTCTTTATGACCTATCTCCCTGGTCTCTGCCTGGCCCTTTACACAGAGATATGTTTTTCCAATGGCCTAGGCAATCCAGGTGGTAAAAGGTCATGGCAGACAATGCATTCATGAATAGGCACAGCTTTGTTTGACTTGACATCTTAACAGAAGCAGGTGACAGCTTGGCTTGCCCACAGGAGTCTCAGGCAAAAGCTATGCTGCACAGAAGCACTCGGATAGACAGACTGCCCAATGGTCCATGGCTGACCACTGCAGTTTCCTGATATGGAGCTGTGCTCACAGTCAGTGCTGCATAAAGCTGACTGTTGGGTCTCCCTGTCTGAAGTGGAAACAGTAACAGCATTCCAAAGTGAAGGGCACAGAGACCCAGACACAGCCAGCCTTTCCTCCTGCTCTAGAGTCCCACTGAAACTGATGGCTTCAGTCCCAGGTTAGATCACCATTTGCTGACTTGAAGCAGATGCAGGGGGCTGCCTTTGTCACCTGGCATTCATAGCTTTTCCTTTAGAGGCAGCACCTCCACTTCTGCCAGGCCCTGATCTTGCTCAACTTGCCTGTCTTCCTGCTTGGATTTGCCATAGTGGTTTTCTGCCCTCAACCAAAACGGAAGCGACAGATCACACTCTGAGATAAGTACTTCAAAAAGACTCCAGTGGATTCTTCACCATCGGCACCGTGAGCATCAACCACGCACACTGCTATGTACACGGGGCCGTCCTGAATTCCAATGCTTCCGAAATCAGTAATTTAGCAGGATTTTGGATTGTTTTTTAAACTTTCCAATTACCCATGATTTTATCATGAATTTTCTTAAAGACAAAACATGTAGTATTCAGAAGCAGTTTTTGTTGCTTGCAACCAGAGAATTTGGCGTGACTTCCTAATGAGTCTTGCTGGTTCCAGAAATTAACAGATTGCTTTTCCACACACCAGGCCATACAGCTTCATACCGAAGTGAATTCCAACCCTTCAGCAATGACTCCTTGATTTGCACAAATCTACACACACACACACACACACACACACACACACACCTTTATAGAGAGGTCTATCGGGCTAAGTTGCAACAGAAGCAAAGGACAAACAAACACAGCATCATGGTAGAAGCAGGCCACTCCCACCTTCCTCCCAGTCCCTGCCCACTGACTCACATGTATGCCTTGTAGTTGGATCCAATCTTCTGTATGCGGATGTCATACTTGGAGTCGATAAAAGCTTCAGTGGTGGCGTAGGTTTTGGCCATGGCCACCACACTCGTGATGTCCTGGTAGTCATGCTGGTTTTCTACTTTGATCTGTGGGGTAAGAAGGACATGTGAGTGTGGCTGCCCAGACCAGGACAAGGTACTCCTTCAAAGAGAAGGTCACCTGACTTGCAGGGACATAGACGCAGGAGGTGAACAATCCCACTACCTGCCTTCCTGAGGAACGGAAAAGGAAGGGGCCGGTTCCAGCTGGGAAGGCAGGGGCTCTTGAGAGAACAGGTGAGCTCTGAAGGGGTTCAGAATGATTAATACTTTTATTTTGTTTGAACAAAGGGTCTCTCTATTGTAGTACAAATGCTCCCTATGCTGATTAGATTGGCCCCAAATTTGTGGAGATCCTCCTGTCTCTGCCTTCTGAGTGTTATGCTGGAATAAAGGCATGCACTACCATGAATATACATTCCGAATGTGTGGCTGGCTGGTGATGTGGGAGGTAGGGTCATAAGGAACCTTAGGACCTCTCGGGAAGAATAGCTGATCACCTGGTTGCTGGGGGTAGGAAAGTGGGCACAATGGCTGGGTGGTATCCTGGGGAACAGGTCCTGCTAGCTTTGATCAGATGCTTAGGTTTCAGGCAGAAGGTCCAGATGCCACAGAAAGAGACTGGCATTTAAAGGAGCAGGTGCCTTAATTTATGTTTTCAGAGCAATCACTCAGTTGTATAAGGGGTTGAATGGGGGAGTGTGGTAGGCAACAGAAAAACCAGTTTGAAAAAATGTGGTGTGTGTGTGTGTGTGTGTGTGCACGCACTTGCGCCTGTGTGCATGCATGCTCAAGCATGTATGTGTTGTGCTTGTATTCAGTGGATGCTACATGTATGGTATGTTTTTGTACACTCATCGGTACTCGCTGTGTTTATACCTGGCATGTATACAGTAGTGTGTACAAGTGTGTGTTTGGATATGTGCATGCAGTGGACAGGTTGGCTTTGTAGTTCAGAAGCTTGGGGGAAACACTTGCCCTGTTTACTGGGTTGGGGCCAGGACCACAGGGTGGTGTCTTGCGGTAAGAAAGAAGTCTCAAGAGAGCTCCTCAGACCAAGGGCGGGGTACAAGGTCAAGGCTCTGTGGCAGTGGCCTCAAGACACTGCAGAAGCTGAATCTTAGAGTCCGTGGAAAACAAGGTGGAGTGCCCTTTCCAGAAGGCCACAAGGGCGCTACTTGTCTAGACTGGTCTTCCTGGCTTCTCTCACATTGTCAGTGGAACATTCTAACGCTGGACCGGACGCAGGTAGAAACCCCAGAGTGCTGAGTGCAGTGGCAGTCTGGATGGAATAGTGGAAGAGCGGAACTGACCCTCAGGGGAACATTCTTCTTTCCCATGCTTCCTGCCCTTTGCATCTCTGCTCTGAAAACACTATCCCTTCTATGGTATCGTCCATTCACATTTGTGCCAAGTGTACAAAGGCACCTGCAGGGGCAAGGCACGCCGGCTACACATATGGTCTTTCTACAGATGTGCAGACTGAGTTGCCTTTATCCAAAGTCAGTGCATCTGAGCGCACTGCCTACAATTAAATCCTGACCCAAAGGCCCAGCTCTGTTGCTAACCAGCTCCGGCCTTTGCAGGTACAGACTTTCTTTACTCCATGAGGGATTCTAAACAAGCAAGCCTTGGCAAGCCTTCTTTCCTCTTCACCCTTGAAGAGCACAGCCTTCCAGTAATGATGCTCAGGCACATGCTGCAGAGAAAACAAGGTCAGCCAGGAGGATGTCCCTATGTACAACCCACTTTCCGGCTCACGGCCCCCCCCCCCTCTTTCCAGCTGTACCAGAGGCAGAAGTGTACCTTGTTCCTTTGTCTTAGGTCACCAGAGGCTCTGACGTCTGGCTGTCCCTACTCCTTTTAGCAATAGGACCCTTCAGCTTAAGCTGAGCATCTGGTCTCCAAGATACAGATGCTTTCCTTCTGGTATCCTTTCCAACTGGCTGTGGTGAACTCATTAAGTTCTAGCTTTCTCCTTTTTATCCAGCCTGGCAGTTAGGATAAACAGATGGATAAATTGAACCTCAATGAGCCTCCTCTAGATAATCGCTCATAGACACACCCAGAGGTTTATCTCCAAGGTGATTCTAGATTCTGCCAAGCTGATAAGCAGCATAAACCACCCCACCTGCCTCGGTGGTGACCCATTCGTAGAGTTCTTTGAGTTGCGTCCTGCTCTGAGTAGCATGAACTAGAAAAAGCTTTGTAGTTTGGTTTACACACCACTGTTCTCTCCTTTTTGGTGCCTCCCTTACAGTTGACAGTGCCTTGTCTCCCTCCAGTGCCCTTCGGATGGTACTAGGGCTTCATCCTTAGCCAACGTGTGAGTTCAGGTGCAGGGATTCAAAGTTATCAAAATGAAAGATCCCAGGAGAGAGCTTACAGGGAGGACCTGCATGGCACAGCCATGCTTCCGTCCCCAGTGGCTTTGGGAAGACGAAAGCTTCTGTACGGTGGCTTCCCAGACCACACAGGAGGCATGCATCATAGGCTGCCTTGGAGAGGTCTGTTGTCCACAGAACCCTTTCTCTTGTGACCTGAGGACACATGGCCACCAGAATAAATACCACACTTGCCCTTTCCCCAACACCTTAGTGTGTCCATGTGGTAACATCTTGGTGCTTTTGTGTGACCAAAGAAAAGGTGTGAATTGTAGGCCAGGGCTGGCTTTCCCCTTGCTCTTGTCCTTTTCCTGTTGGCTGGGATGTGGCCCACCATCGGCTTCATGGATAACAAGTGGATGATTCACATGGTGGAAGGAAACCGGTCCCTCGAAACCAGGGAGGCGTCACACCAACCCTGGGTTTCTTTTTACCCAATTCCATTCGGGGAAACAGAAACTTCTGGTTTGTTTTGACAATTAGGCTTTATCTCAATCACAATCTAAACCTTAAAGTGCACCTGGGATTTTGTTCATAGTGGGGACAAAAAGAGAACCAAAAGAGAAAGTATCGATAATTACAGCTTAATCAGTGAGCCAGTGTGTCAGCCCACCTTCCTGTCTGAATAGTTGGGGAGGGGAGAGTGTCACTCATTCTGCCCCCTCCAGAGCTGGCATAACTCTTCCATGGGTTCTTTCAAAAGAGTCAAACGTCCCTAGCAACAGGCTGCTCTTTCTTTTCTTCTCTTTACTTTTCCTTTTCTTCCTTTTCTTTTTTCTCTTTCTTTCTTTTTTTTTTGTTACAGAGGGTTCCCCAGACTGTACAATGCTGGGGTTCCAAAAAAAAAAAATCCTAGCTCTCCCCTGGGTCTACCGTGCCTGTCTCCCTTTAGGTGCTGAGCTTCTCAGGGGATGGACAATGATTTTTGTTCAAAGTCATAATATTCATGTCTGGCACAGTGTAGATTTTAAAAGGTGTTTTCTGGAATGAATGTAAGAAGCTGGAGGGAGACTAGAACTTTGAGTCGGGAGAGTATTATGGCAGAGGAAGACATCAGTGAGTCAGAGAATGAAAGAAAGTGCGCTTTGGGGTGTACATTTTTTCCATCAGGGCTGTGTGTGTAAGCCCACAGTTGGGGCTATGAAGCATCCTCAGTCATGGTCCACATTATTCACAGAAGTCTCTCAATCGGGCCAGAGCTCACCCACACAGCTAGTCTTGCTAGCCAACTTTCTCAGGGCTTTCCCATCTCTGCCTTCAAGGGAGAGCTCCTTGATGGAATTACAGGCAGGCTGCCACGCTCACCCACAAGTTATGGGGGTTCTGGGGATCTGAACTTTAGTCCTCACACCAGCATGGTGAGGGCTTAACCACAGACCCATCTCCCCAGACACACTGTACATGTATGTCTTTCTATAAAATGAAGTTTTTCGAGTGTCTAGGCTGGATCAACCCTGTTAGAGGGTTAGAGCTTCTGTCAGACGTTCCTGGGGACATAATGGAATCAGGGATCCTGGAGAGGACTCTGAGATGGTTCTTAGGCCAGGGACGGAGGCTGCTGAGGGTCATGAGAAGCACAGCTGTGGGAGGTAGAGCTGGGCCCCAAACAGGGAAACTTGGTACTCTGCCCGATTCACTGACTGGAAAAGCCTCCAAGGGTTCCCAAAGATGTGATAAAAACAGGAAGGCCCAAATGAACTGGGATGCAAGGGGACCCATGTGCTGTGCAGAGTGTGGGCTCAGAGAACTGCAGAGATGCAGCCTTCCCACCCCCTCTTGACTGCACCCCTGCTTTTGTCTCCCCTCCCCGCCTCCCTCTGCTTTCTCATGTCTTCCTTCCTCATCCCATCTTTCCTCCCCTCAGAACATCTTTCCCTCTTTTAGCATGCTCCATCTTCTTGTCTAATTTGTTCCTTACTTTCTCTGGTTGCTCCTTTCACCCCGTTCTCTCTTTCATCTTCAGCTTGCCCTTCCCTCTCTCATGTCTAGGCTCCCCCTGCTCTCTGTCTTCTATGACCCCTCTGTCTCTCCTGCACACTGTCTCCACCATACTGATGCTCAGGGTTTCCCCGGCCTGTCCATGACTGACTGTAAAAGTGCCTTTCTTCTCTCATGTGTACGTGTATATGTATATATGTATATATACACGTACACATGTGTGTGTGTGTGAGCATGTACACACACACTACATCTTGAGGAGAAACTAGGAGGGAAAGTATCCAAAGACAACAAGAGGAACTGCAGAAGGGCCAGGATTCCAGTCAGACTCTTCCAGCAGAAGTCTGAAGACCTGAAACTCCAGCATGGGACAGGAGGGTGACCTCCATCCCCAAGGGACTGTTCATCATGTGCTCAGGTATCTCCAATGAGTTTGGGGCTTGTGATGGTCCTGGCAGCTACTTCTTCTTCAAGAGCCTCTATCTTGTTTCAGTATGTGTTGGCCCAAGAATGAATGAATGGTCCAAGTGGGTGGTCTTGACCTCTCTGCCTGTGTCTGCTCTTCATCTACGTGAGGATGGAAACAGATTGTGGTGCTGAGGGTTACAGGCTAAAAAAAATGTTAACTTATCAAAAAAAAAAAAACAAATCTAGAAAAGCAGTGTTCCCATGGTTACTTGAAATAATCCTGTTATTATGGTTTACATGGTGTGTAAGCCACCATGT